ATGATATTTACATATCAAGCTTATGTTTATTTGTATATAATGGAGATATGGATCACTCAAATGATAAAGAGTTATGTCTGATAGACAGCGCCACAACGCACACCATTTTGAGAAATAAAATATATTTTTCTCAAATGATTTTAGTTGAGGCTAAAGTCAATACAATATCAGGTGTTGCAAAACTCATTGAAGGCTCTGGGAAAGCATATGTGATGCTCCCTAACGGGACAAAAATAATTATAAATGACGCTTTATACTCCAGCAAATCGCGGAGAAATTTATTAAGTTTTAAAGACATGCGTCAAAATGGTTATCACATAGAAACCATGAATGAAAACCAAAAGGAATATCTTTGTCTTACGACAACTAAATCTGGCACTAAATATATTTGTGAAAAATTGCCAGCATATTTCTCAGGACTATATTTTACTCATATTAGTCCATTCGAAATAAATTTGGTTTCTAACGCAAAGTTAGATGATTAGAAAACATTCATGTTGTGGCATGACCGTTTAGGTCACCCAGGCCATGTAATGATGCATAAAATCATTAAGACTTCACTTGGACACCCATTAAAGAATATAAGGGTTCCAATATCAAGGGATTTTCCTTGTAAGGCCTGTTCTCTTGGCAAAATGATCATCAGGCCTTCTATGAACAAAATTGCAACTGAATCACCTGTATTTTTAGAAAGAATTCAAGGAGATATTTGTGGGCCGATAGCCCCGCTATGTGGACCATTTCGATATTTTATGGTGTTGATTGATGCTTCAACACGTTGGTCACATGTTAGTCTTTTATCGACTACAAATTTAGCATTTCCTTAACTCCTCGCTCAAATTATACGATTAAGAGCTCATTTTCCGGATCATTCTATAAAGAGAATCCGACTTGATAATGCAGGAGAATTTACATCTCAATCATTTAACGACTATTGCATGTCGATTGGGATTGATGTGGAGCACCCTGTTGCTCATGTCCATACACAAAATGGTCTTGCTGAATCTTTGATTAAACGATTACAATTAATCGTTAGACCATTATTAATGAAGTGTAATTTACCTTTATCAGCTTGGGGACATGCTATTTTACATGCAGCAAATTTAATTCGGCTTAGACCGACTACATATCATGAATATTCCCCAATGCAATTAGTAACTGGACAAGAGCCAAACTTAGCACACATAAAAATATTTGATTGTGCTGTTTATGTTCCGATTGCTCCACCTCATCATACAAAAATGGGTCCTCAAAGAAGGTTGGGAATTTATGTTGGATTTGAATCTCCCTCAATAATAAAATATCTTGAACCGATGACTGGTGACTTATTCACCGCACGGTTCGCTGACTGTCATTTCAATGAGACAGTATTCCCAACCTTAGGGGGAGAAACTAATAAATTGGACCCAAGTACGAAAGAAATAACATGGAATGCAACAGGATTATCACACCTTGATTCTAGATCAAATATATGTGAGCAAAAGGTGCAAAAGATAATTCATTTGCAAAATGTTGCAAATCAGTTGCCTGATGCATTCACAGACACAAAGAAAGTGACAAAGTCACATATTCCTGCTATGAATGCCCCTGCCAGAATTGAAATTCCAGCGGGGAATTCTGAAAAATATCTCGCAAATGATTCTTCTATACGCAAAAAGCGTGGCAGGCCACTTGGATCAAAAGACATAAAACCAAGAAAGACTAAAAGGCAGGAATTGATCTGTGATGCCAAAGATGATCATCCTTCTGAACAAGAAAATGAACAATTTGAAAATACTGGCATAGAAAATGATATTGACAAAACAAACATCTCAAATAATGATTCAACTTCCTTAAATGAGGAAGATATTCCAGATACTGATAGAAACGTTGATAATTATGAAATTTCAATAAATTACGTTTCTACTGGAATGCAATGGAATCGAAAAAATATTGATATTAATGAGATATTTGTCTATGCCGTTGCCACAAATGTTATGAATGAAAACAATGACAATGAGCCAACATCAATAGAAGAATGTCGGAAACGACACGATTGGCCAAAATGGAATGAAGCTATTCAGGCTGAATTAAAATCACTTGAAAAACGTGATGTTTTTGGACCGATAGTCCCTACGTCAAAAGACATAAAACCTGTGGGTTTTAAATGGGTATTTGTGCGTAAACGCAATGAAAAGAATGAAATTGTTAGATATAAAGCCCGACTTGTTGCCCAAGGTTTTTCTCAAATGCCGGGAATTGATTATGAAGAAACCTATTCTCCAGTAGTGGATGCAACTACATTAAGGTTTCTCATTGGCATGTCTGTTTTTGAAAGGCTGCAAATGCGCCTAATGGATGTAGTGACCGCATATTTATACGGTTCACTTGATACAGACATTTATATGAAAGTTCCCGGTGGATTTAAAATGCCTGAAGATTATAGCTCGAAAGCTCGAGACATGTTTTCCATTAAATTACAAAAGTCATTGTATGGACTAAAACAATCTGGACGAATGTGGTATAATCGTCTTAGTGAATACCTTCTCAAAGAAGGATATAAGAATGATCCAATTAGTCCATGTGTTTTCATTCGGCGATCAAATTCGGGATTCGCCATAATTGCAGTATATGTTGATGACTTAAACATTATTGGAACTCCCGATGAAATTGAAAATACTGCAAAATATCTTATGAAAGAATTTGAAATGAAAGATCTCGGGAGAACCAAATTTTGTCTCGGACTTCAAATTGAGCATTTGAAGAATGGAATTTTCATCCACCAATCCAATTACACCGAGAAAGTGTTGAAGAGATTCTATATGGACAAAGCTCATCCTTTGACTTCACCAATGGTCATTCAATCTCTCAACATACACGATGATCCATTCCGTCCACGAGAAGACGACGAACATATACTCGGTCCCGAAGTACCATATCTGAGTGCTATCGGAGCTTTAATGTATTTAGCTAATAATACTAGACCAGATATTGCATTTTCTGTAAATTTATTAGCTAGGTATAGCTCATGTCCAACAAGACGTCATTGGAACGGGATCAAGCACATATTCCGTTATCTCCGTGGTACAATTGATCACATTCTACCACAAAGATGCAAAAGCTTCTTTAATCGGATATGCAGACGCTGGATACTTATCAGATCCTCAAAAGGCGAAATCACAAACCGGGTACGTATTTACTTATGATAACACCGCAATCTCATGGAGATATATGAAGCAGACATTGACAGCTACATCATCAAATCATTCTGAATTAATTGCACTATATGAAACCGGGAGGGAATGTGTGTGGCTGCGATCTATGATTCAACACATCCAAGATGAATGTGGTATGAAAGCTATTAGTTGTCACCCGACTGTGATCTACGAAGACAACACCGCATGCATAGCTCAAATTAAAGAAGGCTACATCAAAGGAGATAGAACGAAGCACATATCTCCAAAGTTTTTCTCTACTCATGACCTTGAGAAAGAAGGGACGATCAACATTCAACAAAATCAGATCCAGTGAAAATCCAGCCGATCTCTTCACCAAATCATTACCCCCGAAGAAGTTCATGGAACTTGTACAGAAAATCGGCATGCGCCGCCTTAATAATTTATGTTAAATTCAGGGGGAGTATTTGAATGCACTGCACTCGTTTTCCCTTCATCAGGTTTTTATCCCACTGGGTTTTTCCTGATAAGATTTTTAACGAGACAGTACATCCAAATACAACGACATTATAAGTCGTAATCTTTACCCCTAAATTTTCACAATAAGTTTTTAAAAATAACAAATACATATTCAAGGATGAACATTCAAGGGGGAGTGTTGTAAATTCCTGAGAAACACATGTGTGAATTGTTCATCCTTGTCATTAGGACACCTAGCTATTCATCATCCTTGTAATGATCCTTGTAACCTAGTTAGAACAGGTGGCTCAATTTGTTATTGCCACCAAATCTGTAGACTCATCATTTAGGTGACTAATAATCAAGCTCAAACACTATAAATAGGAGCTTGATGAAGTCTTGTAAATTAATTCAAGCAGTTTAGAAACTGAGAAAGTTCAGAGATAAAGAAGAAGTTATTCAGAGCTTATTTATTAATATATCTATCTCTTAAATCTGTTCTTCATCTCCTTCATTTTACAACAATAAATAAATAAATAAATAAATAAATAAATAAATAAATAAATAAATAAATAAATAAATAAATAAATAAATAAATAAATAAATAAATAAATAAATAAATAAATAAATAAATAAATAAATAAATAAATAAATAAATAAATAAATAAATAAATAAATAAATAAATAAATAAATAAATAAATAAATAAATAAATAAATAAATAAATAAATAAATAAATAAATAAATAAATAAATAAATAAATAAATAAATAAATAAATAAATAAATAAATAAATAAATAAATAAATAAATAAATAAATAAATAAATAAATAAATAAATAAATAAATAAATAAATAAATAAAGAGGAGCAAACCAGTAGCTAATAAAGATGAAGAAACTGGTGATGTGAGGAGGAGCTCCGTAGCCTGCTTAGTCATATGCCTCGTACATTCTTTTAAATAAGGTCAGTACGTTTCCGCCCCATTTTAGTATAATTTCCGTCCCTGTTTCCTGTTATGTTACGAGGATGATGAACACCGTTTAGCCTTAGAGATGTTTTGTGTGATCTAAAAATGTGTTCTTCAAATTTATAACAATTATTGATTTATAGTAATTACATTTTTATTCAATCTGAATGTCAACTGGAAATGAAGTGTAATTGACTGCGAAAAATGAATAATCTAAAAATTAATGGTTTAATTACGAGATTACATGTTGTCCAGCCGTTAATATTTACTGGAAATTCATAATATGAATGGAATATATATTATTATAGATTTAGATATGCATGCAAGAATTATGTGATGTAAGCTACGTAGTATCAATTTATGAAATAACTAAATGCTATTTAGTGAGTGTTTATTATGTACGAATCAGCCAAATTAAGAATAATTTCAGATATTATATATTAAAATAAGCAATCCTTTAAATTTAATCTCGCTATATATTTAGGGTTAAAGGATTACATGTTTATACACCAAGCTCCTAAGAACATGCACTAGTATTAAATGTATCTACTTTTATATGTATAAATACACATATGAAAGTTTTTACATGCATGCACATACTTATTAGTACACGTATGTTGCTAAGTATACATAATAAAAGCGAGGTGTACATGCATGCATGCTAACATACATATAGGACATGCATTCCTGGTGTAAGTTTATATATAGACATAAATATAAAGTAGATGTTTAATGTATTTGCACATAACAAACATGCCTTAATTAACTAAAATAAAACACACAAGTCATTCTTTGTACGATAGCAAAACTACCGTAGTGACATGCATGAGATATAGTAGAGACCCTGAAAAAATAAGGAAAACAAAATGAATTAAGTGACCTGCAGGCTAAGTTAAATGTGCAATTCATTTGATACGGTTGTGATATATTTTAAAATTAATATTACTAGTAATCCCATTTTATCCAGGTAGTAATACGGAGTAAGCTAATTACGACAGATATGCATCAACTAAGATAGTCATTAACTTATGTATTTTCATGGATTTATGTGTAAGTAAATATTACTACGTACAATCTTTAAATGCTAGTAATACATCATGCATGTGAATATTACGGAGTATAATATATGACCATGCATGACACGCACTATGGTTATAAAATGCGTCTTACGTATGCATTGGTTATATAATTTTATTAATCAGCATCTTTAATAGATGGTACTATAGCATGACGAATCGATATATTCATATATCCATATGCTTAGAACTTAATTTACGTACTTAATGTTTATATGTATGCTTTGATACATTGTTCAACGGGAACAAAGTGCAGGATATCGATGATTTGACCATACCAGATTGTATGGTAAATCGTGATTTTGTGAGAAGGATCCAACCAACGGAAGTTAAAGAGGCTCTGAGGAAGATGGGGCGGAAGAAAACAGTGGGTCCAGATGGCATACCGATCGAGGCTTGGAGAAGTTTGGGAGAGAGAGGCATCGGGTGGTTGACAAATTTCTTCAACAAAATTTGGAGAAACAACAAGATGCCAACGAGTTGGAGAAAGAGTACTCTTATTCCCTTATTTAAGAATAAAGGTGATGTACAAGAATGTGCCAACTATCGAGGGATTAAGCTTATGAGTCACACCATGAAACTTTGGGAGAGAGTACTGATTGAGCAAAGACTTCGAAGAACTCTGAAGATTTCAGAGAATCAATCCGTAATATGCCTGGTCGCTCAACAACTAAGGTCATTCACCTTCTTCGACAACTTATGGAGAAGTATAGAGACGCTCACAAGGATCTGCATTTGATGTTCGTTGACTTAGAAAAGGCATATGATAGGGTACCTCGAGAAGTTCTTTGGTGGGCCTTAACTAGAAAAGGCATTTCACGCAAGTATATCAGCATCATCATGGATATGTATGAGGATAGTACTACAAGTGTTCGTACTAGTGTAGGGAGGACTGCGGAGTTCCCTATTACTATCGGAGTGCACCAAGGATCGACTCTGAGCCCTTTTTTATTTGCCATAGTCATGGATGAACTTACAAAGTCAATTCAAGACGATATACCGTGGTGCATGATGTTTGCCGACGATATTGTATTAATTGATGAGACGCAATCAGAGGTTAGAGCAAAGTTGGAAGTATGGCGACAGACATTGGAGAACAAGGATTTCAGACTAAGTAGAAGCAAGACAGAGTACATGGAGTGCAAGTTTGGTGGAGGTAGAAACAGTGGTAATAACGGAATTACTTTATATGGTAAGGAGATACCGGTCAGCGATATGTTCCGTTACTTGGGCTCCATAATTCAGGACGGTGAGTTAGATGGAGATGTATCTCATAGAATCAGAACAGGGTGGATGAAGTGGAAGAGTGCGTCGGGATTTCTATGCGATCGAGGTATGCCGACTAGACTGAAGGGTAAATTTTATAGGACAGCAATTAGGCCTGCATTACTGTATGGCACAGAGTGTTGGGCGGTGAAACAATGTCACATTCAAAAGATGAGTGTGGCAGAGATGCGCATGCTGCGTTGGATGTGTGGGCATACTAGAAAGGACCGCGTGAGGAATGAGACAATTAGACAAAGGGTGGGAGTAGCACCTATTGAAGATAAGATGCGGGAGTCACGCCTACGGTCGTTTGGCCATGTGCATAGAAGACCGAGTGATGCACCTGTCAGACGAGTTGAGATGTGTGGAGAAGAGGTAGGGAAGAGAGAAAGAGGAAGGCCCAAACAGACGTGGGTTAGGGGAGTCAGAAGGGATATGCTTCTTCTTGGATTGGATGAGAGTATGGCTTTGGAGAGAGCAAAATGGAGGGTGGGTATTCGTGTGGAAGAGTGATCTTGTATCATCTTTTCTCCTCTTTCTTTTTCTTTTTCTTTTTCTTTTATATTTTTATCCTTATATATAAATATTACTTTATCCTTTTTATTTGATCTTTTATATGTATATTCATCTCTTTTATATTATCTTTTTTTATAATAGCTTATCTTTTTTATCTTTATTTTCGTTCTTTTCCTTTTGGTGATATCATATATCGATTCATGTTAGCCGACCCCAATATCGTTTGGGATCAAGGCTTGGATGTTGTTGTTGTTGTTGTTGTTGTAATGTTTATATGTATGCACTAGCTAACAGATGGTTTAAAAGGATCGATTGGTCAGACTGTATACTTTAATTAGTTATTAAACGAAGGTTTGCTATGTAAAGTTTAAATATGACATCGTCAACTCTCAACTGTTTATGACTAACCGGACAAGTAAATTAAGAGAATATGTTTTGTAAAAGCCTTGCTCTTGATCCGGCACTCTGACTAGGATACTCTTGTTCTGTTTAGTGTACGATGTACACTCCTGAAATTTTGTTTAGAGGAAGTAGTGCTCTCCTGTTTAGTGTACTAAGTACACTCCTATTCTGTTTAGTGTACTTCGTACACTCCTGATTTTTTTTAGAGCACTATCACTCTCCTGTTCAGCTAGCTTCTGTCAGGGATTGGTACGTGTAGCTCCGGCGATTACGTTTTCGTATTCCTTCTGGATAATGTGGGTACGGACTTTGATCGACCGTATTCCTTACTGTTAGTATTCCTCGGTCTAGGTCCAGATTCCAGAGTTTAAGGCTAAATGAATCTGTTTTTATAAATGATAAGTTTCAGATTAAAAAATTATCTGATAATTATGATATCTGAATATGTTTCTGTTCTGTACAAAAATAATGATAATAATAATCTCAAAATAGAATTATCTGATAATTATGATATCTGAATATGCTTCTGTTCTGTACACAAGAAGAATATAATAATTATCTCAGAATAAAATTATCTGATATTTATGATATTTGAGTATGATTCTATTCTGTATGTAAATATCTGTATTTTTATAACAGCTGCTCGGTTCACCCAGGTATGTTATATGTTTGTCTGATCAGATGTGAATTATGATGTATTAATATGTTTGATATGTTAATATTATCGTTATTGTTATTACCGTACCACTCGGCACATTGCTGAGCGGGTAATTGTGTGTTTCCCTACCCGTAGGTTGAGCACGGAACCCGCTAGGAGCACATGGGATGGAAAGAGGCATAGAACGCATTTGCATGCCATGTTATTTGGTGTTTTTTTAGAAAGGACTTTAATATGTCATATGTGATTTTAAGAACTTCCGCTGCACACCTTGAAGTGTTTTATGATGTTTAAGTTATGTCTGTTTTAATAACATTCCACTCCATGTGAGTTTGACATTTTCTGGTATTTAGTAATGAAGTCATTTTGAAATTAATACACTTTATTTTAAGTAATAAAATCTCTTATTAAATGTTTTGTGTTTAAAGTAAAAAAAAAGGCACTATTTCTTGAACCACTAAAAGTATTTTTGATTAAATCCGTTCTGATTTTCCGCCAAGTGTCGCGCCACTCGGGTCGGCAGGGTCGGGCCGGGTGGGGTGTTACATTTTTAGCTGTGTGGAGAGTTGTAACTCGTAACTCTTATAGGCCGAATTTGCGGTGAATTGTTTGGGCCGGATCATTTGAGTGTTGTTAAAAGTTATTAAGTGCAGCCCAAAATGAAAAGAGAAAAAAAAAGAGAACCGCCCAAAGAAAAAAAACTGCAGGAGATTGGATCTTTCACTAGCAGCCTAAAACAAAAAAAACAAAAAAAAAAGGAGTTGGGTTTTTTCCCTTGAACTAGCAGACAAGAATTATGGACGAAATGTTAATGCGACGGAAATAGTACTAAAGAATACACTCTTCGTCTCACTGGACTTTATCCACTTTCCTTCTTTGTTTGTTCCAAAAAAAATTGTGTTTGTTCCAAATAATAGACTCCCCGTTTCAGTCATTTACACAAATCTCTGCACAATACAAATAAACTCGCGGAATACAATGAAGCAAAGGAACAATTGGTAAAGTATGTGGCAAATTTTCACTCTGTTAAAAGAGAGCATTAGAGATCCTCTAGATCTAGTCATGCATTACGTCGTCAAGGCAAAACTATATGTCCTGCCACCCTTGCGGGCGTAGCCGAGTTGGTATTCGGGTAGCAGACATGAGACAATGTTCAAATAGAGTTAATTTGTGTTGCTCTACCTCTACATATCTAGAGGCAAAGTATGGAGGGTAAGGTTGGAAAATTCTGCCTTTTCGGACAAGGCTAGCCGTTTCAGAATCGGGATAAAGTTAAGGTTACCAATCCAAATCTCGGGCTTTCTAATTTTTTAGAACTTCTAACCAATATAATTCAGTCAGACTAATTTCTAGACTGATTTCTAGATACTGTATTTCCACAAATCATTTCTTGGTGTCCGAACGCCCAATTTTGTGTTTTTTACCAACATGTTCAGTTGTTCACTGCCATTTTGAGGATACAAAACACATGATCTTTCTATCGTTCTATTAAATGAATCATCAAAGCATATGATCAATTTAGGACCTTCATTATATTAGTTTATATACGTAGAAGTGCCGATTCAGAATAAAGGTGCAAAAAAGGTTAACCTGAGTTATTTCTTCTTCCTGTGTTTCTGGAAGTTGGGTTTGATCGGCTGGCTTGAGGTTATGCTCTGACCCACCGACGATCCATATGGAACAAGTGGCTTCTTAATGAACCCACATGAATCCATAATCATGGGAACACTGGATGATGTCACTGGAGAAGCTGTTTTTCTTTTTAATTGTTTCGGGATCTCCAGTCTCTCAAGGATTCTTGATGTTTTCTCGTCTAGTTGTCTAGAATCTTGTGGTGTAGACAGAATCAATGTCTCAAACTTTGGGTTTGGGTTACATGATGGCGAACAAATTTTGGGTTCCCTAGTCACGATCAGTTTTTCCCATTCCTCGGCAATTAGCTCACTGGTTATATCTCCAACACCTATATCGAAAACTGATATATTTTCTTCTATCATTTTCCCCTTGGTTGCCTTTGTTGATTGTGAAGCCTCTGCTGGAGTATCTTGCTGCTGGGAGTTTAACACGGTTGCTACATCTTTATCTCTTGGAGGCATTGCCCTGAAATATTAAAGGGGATAATGATCATGACAACTGACAAGTAAACTATCACACAGGCTGTTGCAAACATACTAAGGGGGTGTTTGGATAAGCAATTTGAAAACGTCGTATTTAAAAAAAAATGGTTTTGTTTTGAAAATGCTGCGTTGTCGTCTTGTCAAAATATGCTTTTTATATGAGATGGATGGGCAGCCCGGTGCATGAAGTTTTTTTTTTTAAACTCCAGGGGGGGTCTGGGGGAGCCTGAAGTAATCAGGTCAGAAACTCACTCCATTGAGTTTTGAACCCTTATGTGCCTAGCAGGTTTCGAACCCGAGACCTCCCACTAGGCACGGTAACCTCACAACCAGCCCGGTGCACGAAGGCATACCCACAAGGAGAGTGTCCAGGGAAGGGTCCCACTCTTCCCCACCATAAGGGTGTATAAGGGGCAATCTTTTCCTTGTCAAAATTTTGACAAGAGGCTGCTCTCAAGACTTGAACTCATGACTTTTCAGCCACACAACAACACCTTAACCGATGCGCCAAGGCTCACCTTCTTTGTAGAGCATGATTGAAAAATAATAACAAACCACTCGAATAAAGAAGCTACAATTTGCAGCTTCTTGAATTTAGTGTTTGGTAGTGCTTTGTTCTTTAACAAAATGCTCCGCCCAACACTTAGCACTATAGCATTTTGGGAGATACAACCTTCAGCCAAACACCAGCTAAAATGAACTATATTTCACTCTTCCAGTTTGGAATGGAGAATCCAATTACAAGGGTACTTGTTGCAGATAGTCTGGAAGTGATCAATACTAGCAAGGCTTTTTTGCGCATCACTATGCCTAATGAACCAGAATTAGTGCTTCACTAATATATCTTTTAGCAGGCTTTTTGAAAAGGGAAAAAACCATAGTAGCCCTGAAACCACTTGACATTTTATCTTTTTTCACCTATTGTATCAGATGGAATGGAATATAATGAATATTCCATAGTTCCAAGTGGTTCAGTGGTTCTAGGATCCAACCATAAATGGGATGTTAAATGTGAGTTTTTTTTAGTTTAGTGGTCAAATAGAAAGACATGCTCATGTTAGTATATTAAAAAGCTATAAGTAATTACCCAAATTGTAGGCTTTCTTTCACCAGAGTGTTCAGTTTTTTATGAAAGCCTCTTTCGTGATGAAATGGATCGTAGTCACTTACTTCCATCTGTGAATAACAAACAAACAAGAAATGTACAACTAGATGCTAAAAACCTTTCTGAAGTACCTTGCATTTATTGAATGCACTCTCACACAAATGTATACAGGTCAACATATTGTATATATATATATATATTTCCATTTATTTTTACTCGAGTTCCTTATAATTAATGCTGCTAATAGTTTTGTTTGTAAAAAGAATTGTATTGCCATTATTTACTGGTGAAATCGTTAGTAGACCATTAGCAGTTCTGCATTAACACATCAGATTTCACAAACTATAAAATGGGATGCATGCTCTAGTATGCTACATGTCCAAATAGAAGAACCAGTCTACTGACCTTAAACAAAGACGCTTGAACAGAATTTTCAATATCATTTGCTACCTTCATGTGTTTAAAGGGCATAACTTCAGGAACAGGCAAGATTTCCTCTGATCCAGCAAGCCGCTGCAGTTTCATATGCATAGCAAATCACTATTCAAGGCCTAATAAATGTGTGGAGATCGTAAAGGAGGTTGAAGAAGCATATAAATTGCATCAGCGAAAATGCTAAGAACGCGAAAAACAAATGTCAATTAAATAATGACTCTTCTTCAGGATGGGACAACAGATATAAGGAAAAACTCACCCTAAGAAGCATAGTTCCTTTTTCTGAAGGTAAAAGTAAATAATAGCACAGAAAGGAAGACTGTCTTGCAGTATCGATGTTGTAATTTGAAGAGCAAACTATACCCTGGTCAAGGGAGTTCAATAAGCTACTCATCACTTGAAAAACTGCAAAAGGCACAATTTGCGTTCATAAACAAAATAGCTAAATCCCATTGGTCAATTGTTCGGGACAACTACAGATGCTGTACTAAAAAGAAGCTGTCGGTGCACCTTTACAGTATAGATCTGAATTCTCAGTCTCATCTGACTCAAGGAAAGCTGGAGTGATAATAAATGAAGAACCAAAAATGATTCCTGACAATAGGGGAATAAGGACGGATATTAGTGGTCAACATCCCACATGAACCAGATATGTACTAAGTACTAACTGAGCGACAAATTCATATAATCACAATGTGTGCCACTGGCATTAATAATTTTCACTAAAAGGTCTTGAAATTTTAACCCTATTCGTAGATATTGAAAAACAAAGAGCTAAAAGTATACTTCACTCCCTCTGATTCACAATGTGTCACTTTGGAGGAAATTAGGGAGATTAAGGCATCATTAAATTCATTTCTTTTTTACAATGTTACCCCTCTCTAAATAATCATACTGTTGAACATATGGTCTTGGTTTTATGAAGCGAATATCTGTAAGGGGAAAAAGTTTTCAAAAGTGACACTTATTGGGCACCAAAGGGAGTGTATTTTAGTCAAAAGCAAACATGAATGAAATACAAAACATCTAGTGCAGTTTCTTTCTCTCAACTAACAAAAGACTGAAATTTTGTTTTTCTTTTCAAGTACCCACCTTCATTAAGTGAATGCAATCCAGTTCTTTTAATGACATTGAATTCAACAGGTGAAGAAACTCGTGGAGTGTCCTGACAGGGATGAAAAGAAGGCAAGTACAGGGTTATATTCTCTCCAATCTTTACGGAGTTTTCAATGATGTTTAGGATTACAAGTTCATCCCCAGTGACTGGACAATAATATTTCACATTTGACTCTTTCCTCTTTGAGTCATCTAAGGGCATGCCATGACACCTGCAAGTCTGTAGGCAACGAAATCAAATGATAGTTTCGGTCATTACAAGAGAGAAAGATGTCCTTTGTAGAAACAAATGTAAGTAACATAATATTCTCATTGCAGGTTTGCAAGTTGCAAACTTGCAAGTTGCAACTAATGTGAACAATTAGCATGGAATAGTGTATAACACAGAAGTATTATTATTATTAATATTTTTATTACTATTATTATTGTTATTCATAGTAGTAGTAGTAGCCGCAGTTTCCTGTTAGTTCAGGTATTCTATTTTAGTTAGTATTCTTGATAGAAGTATATGTTTAGTTACGGATACCAAGACTTGGGACTACCGGACTAGTATAAAGGTACTCTATCAAACAATAAGAGGATTAATCTTTTGGAATAACAATTTGGTATCGAAGTCTTTTGTCTCCAATCTGTTTCCCTAATTTTTCTGCTTTTTTCTTTTCTGCCCAGACTCTAGGGAAAAAAGTCTCCAGTGCTGCTGGACCATATCATTAGGCCGAACAAACCCACCAGCAAGGAAACAGTTCAGAGCCAATTTACTGGAGACCATCAGAAAGATTATGCCTTGTTCTTCTCTCAACAGTTCTGAAGTTTGCTTTTATCTCTCAGTTGAAGTGCTGATTTATTAGTGTCATCTTTCTGGACTAGAGTTTGGTTTGGGGATCAGTGTTTGATTTCTTTATTGATAACTTTGTCAGAGTTGTTTTTTCGTCAAGTCAGGCCTCATGATTTAATTTGATTAAAAATAACATCAACAAACTCGAGAAAAGTACAGCAAAAAAATCTAAGAAAAATATATAGTAACGAGCTCTCGAACTTTGCATGTCAGTCTCTAATTTATGTTGTATCGATGATGAGTATGGTTTACACTGTATTTTTTATGATAATGTGATTCAAGCTTTACTATTAGTGAAGTTTTAAAGTCTCAGGGAGTTGAACAACAAGTTTTAGTATATCTTGATTCCGTCCAGGATTAACCTTCCCCAAGTAAAGTTCTTTACAGGTAGACTTAAAAGATGACATTCGTTTATACTGGCCATGTGGATGTCGTAATCCGTTTGCTGCAAGCTATTAAACGAAGGCAACACTCACAATGTGATTCGCTATCTTTACCAACATCAGCCGGTCAACCCTATTGCCCACATCACAAATATATCCTCCACCAAAATGTCAAACTTTTCTCTGCAGTAGTCAGCCTCTCAACTGTTTCCACCACTATTGTTAAATAAGCAGAAATTTTTAATTTTTATCCACATCACCGTCAGTATTGTTGTTGCCAGCACAACAACCCCTGCCACAATAGGCCAATCTACCACTATCAACAACACCCTTGCTGAGACTGGTGAAGTTGAACCTCCATCCTTGCCTCCGGCTCATTCACTGCCAACACCCAAGTTGCAAGAAATTATATGAAGACTCCTAGCAAGGGAAGATTTTTCTGAATAATGCCGCGTATTGGGCGTTGGGAAATTACACGTAGTCATGTGCCTACAACCCTTACGCGTATTGACACCATGGGCTATTAGATTCGAGCTTGAGCAAAAGTTTGATGTTTCTGAGAGAGTAATGATGTGGGTGGAAAAAGTCTTATATTATTATTTTTATTATTGTTAGTGTTAGTAGTTTCCTTTTAGTTTAAGCATTCTTTTTTAGTTAGCATTCTTAATAGAAGTATCGTACGGAGTAATAGTTTAGTTTTAGAGTTACTTTAATACATGCCACCCAACTCTTGGAACTAGTATAATTGGGGTGCTCTATTCATTAGTAAAAGGATCAATCTTTTGCAGCGCGTTCCTTGAAACTGACACACTTCTTTGATTACAGCAGCGGGAAGTTGGCTTTTTCCCCAATTTTATAGACTTTCAATCTTCTTTTTATCTCCCAATCACCATTTGTTCTGCAAATTCGTTGATTGCCCTTTTCCATTTTCCGGCTTTAATTTACTGCAGATGCCACGTGTTTGTTGGCAGAACATCAAAATCTTAACAAGGCTTCATTGTCATTTCTCATATAAAAACTTGTACACAGTTCAGCATCCCAAAGCATTTCACATATTAAACCAAAACATGCCTCAAAGACATACGGAATATGAAACACAGAGAAATGAAAATGTATACAACTCATAAAAAACTATGATTACTCCCACATCTTGAAATTATCTTCCTGTTTTCCTTATTTATCGTCTTCAAACATTTTTTGTGCTTACTATTTTAGGAAAGAAAAGAAATGTGTGATTGTTATTAGTTCATAATTCAGAATCTACCGTGCACATTTTCGTTTTCATTTACCCCAGTGCCGCAAAGGCTCCCACCTATAGTGGGGTAAGGGGGGGTCGGATGTATTCAGTCTTACCCCTGTACTAAAGCAGGGAGAGACTGTTGCTTCATAACAAAGAAGCACAGACAGTTTATTGAGCAATTTTGCTTTATTCCATCATTTTCTCAAGACAAAAAATAATGAATCTTTGGCTCCATTGCAAATGATGGAAAATACAACTCTACTTAATAAGCGTCTTAATTCAGACCAGAAGATAATCTCAAAGCATATGGTGCAATCTATTAGGTGTAATTTTCCCACACAATAATAAATAAATGCATCACAGCTGCACAAAGCTGATCTGAAACTTTGGAATGCAATAGAGCTGCTATCTGATAAAAGTAGAGCATCCCCACATTTGTATATTAAATTTTCTGAAAAGTATAATTTATGTGTAATACCTCACACGAAGAAAATTCGTCTATTATTTGATTGACAGGTGTAGACACATTGCACAATATCTTGTTGGAAGAGCCTACAAGATTGTTCTTGAAGATAAAATGAGCCTGTAATGGCTCTTCCATGTCATCCTTCAACTCCTGGGACCACTTCATCACTAAACCAAAAAACACACGTGCATCTGAAATTTTAAACTATTATCTGTTAGCCCACATTAAAGGAATGTTTGGATAGCGAAAAAAGCTAGAGAAAGAATAAAGAAAGTAAGAGAAGTGATTTTGTTGTGTTTGATTTTACCCCGGGGAAAATTTAAAGGCATATGAAAAGAGACTCTCACCTTGTGACCTATAGAAGTGGAGCTAATAGTACACAAATTGACTACTTTTTAGTATAGACGACTTGGAGAACTAGTTACATTGATTGTAAGGTTATCCTAGGTGAGTGTTGTCACTCACATAGAATGCTTGTGTTTGATTTTCAAGGTAAAAAGAGAAGGCGGGTTAAGGTACAAGGGGAGCCAAAGATAAAGTGGTAAAGGCTTGAGGGAAATCTCTAACAAACTTTAGCACAGAAAATGTTGGAGGAAGATGTATCGTCCATTGATAATGACGCACATGTGAATGATGTGTGGTTATCAATGGAGTCTACCATTAACAAAGTGGCGAAAGAGATACTTGGAGAATCTAAAGGTTGACTACTACCAAAAAAGGACACATCTTGGTGGAATGATGAGGTGAAACAAGCAATAAGGAACAAAAGGGAATGCTATAAGAAATTGGGCAAAAGTTGGAGGGATGAGAACATAAATGAGTACAAGAAGGCTAGAAGAAGAGCAAAGAAAGCCGTAAAAGAAGCAAGAGGAAAAGAGAACAAGGAATTGTATGCAAAATTGGATTCTAAAGGAGAAAAAGATATTTACGGACTTGCTCGTCTTTGTGACAGTAGGACTCAAAATATCAGAAAAGTTAAGTGTATGAAGGATGTCAATCAAAGGGTACTAATGGAGGACGGGGAAATAAATGAGAGGTGGAAGTCATACTTTGATACCTTGTTCAACGGCAATAAAGTGCAAGGTATTGATGGTCTTACTATACCAGAGAGTATGGTAAATCGAGACTTTGTGAGAAGGATCTAAATAATAGAAGTTAAAGAGGCTACGAGAAAGATGAGGCGGAAGAAAGCAGTGGGCCCAGATGGCACACCGATCGAGGCTTGGAAAAGTTTGGGAGAGCAAGGCATTGAGTGGCTTAACACGTTTCTTCAACATGATTTGGAGAAACATCAAAATGCCAATGAGTTGGCGGAAGAGTACTCTCATTCCCATATTTAAAAATAAGGGTGATGTACAAGAATGTGCCAACTATCGAGGGATTAAGCTTATCAGTCACACCATGAAACTTTGGAAGCGAGTGGTTGAGCAAAGACTTCGAAAAATTGTAAAAATTTCGGAGAATCAGTTTGGTTTTATGTCTGGACGCTCAACAACTGAGGTCATTCACCTTCTTAGACAAGTTGTGAAGAAGTATAGAAACACTAAAAAGGATCTGCATTTGGTGTTCATTGACTTAAAAAGGACATATGATAGGGTACCTCGAGAGGTCCTTTGGTGGGCCTTAACTAGAAAAGGCATATCACGTAAGTATATCGGTATCATCATGAATATGTATGAGGCTTGTAATACGAGTGTCGGTACTAGGGTAGGGAGGACCGCAGAGTTCCTTATTACTATCAGAGTGCACCAATGATCGGCTCTGAATCCTTTCTTATTTAATATAGTCATGGATGAAGTTACGAAGTAAATTCAAGAAGATATACGGTGGTGCATGATGTTTGTCGATGATATTGTATTGATTGATGAGAAACAATCGGTGTTAAAGCAAAGTTGAAAGTATGGCGACAAACATTGGATACCAAGGTTTCAGATTGAGCCGAAGCAAGATTGAGAATATGGAGTGCAAGTTTGGTGGTGGTAGAAGTAGTAACAACAATGGGCTTACTCTTGATGGTAAGGAGATACTGGTGTGCGATATGTTTCGTTACTTGGGTTGCAATGCTGCATAATTCAGAAAGATGGTGAATTAAATGGAGATGTATCTCAAAGAATTAGAATTGGGTGGATGAAATGGAAGAGTGCATCAGGATTTCTATGCGATCGAGGTATATCGACTAGACTGAAAGGTAAATTTTATCGAACAGCTGACGTAGAGTGTTAGGCGGTGAAACAATGTCACATTCAAAAGATGAGTGGCAGATATGCGTATGTTGCGTTGGATGTGTGGACATACTAGAAAAGACCGCTTGAGGAATGAGATAATCAGACAAAATGTGGGAGTAGCACCTATAGAAGATAAGATGCAGGAGTCTCGTTAGCGGTGGTTTGGGCATGTGCGTAGAAGACCAAGTGAAGCACATATTAGACGACTTGAGGGGTGGGGAGAAGACACAGAGAGGAGAGGAAAGAGAAGACCCAAACAGACTTGGATTAGATGAATCAGAACTGATGTGTCTCTTCTTGGGTTGGATGAGAGTATGGCTTTGGAGAGGGGCACATATTTATGCCTCTCCAGCGACGTCGGGTATCCGTTTATATTTATTTATCTTTATCTTATTTGTTTTATCCTTTTTCTCTTCTTGTTTGTGTTCTCTTTTTGGCATCGATATCATGGATTGATTCATGTTGACCCCAAAGTCTTTTGTGTTTTTTGGGATTAATGGAATAACAATTTATTCCATTAGTCAAACCCGCTGACTGAATCCGCAATTTGATGTACACATTTGTTGTACACATTGTCAGGTTGATTGTGTACACAGGAGCTTTTGAATGAGTTGTTGAGTTGTCTGTGTACACAGACAACTAAGGGGGTGTATAACAAATGTGTACAAAATATGTATACAAATTGTTTTTCCTTTTATAAAATACATTTTTTTTGTTATTTAAAATTATGAACACTTTTATAATTTGAGCTTCACTAGATTATTGACAAACCCGCTGACTGAATCCGCTATTGACAACCCGCTATTGACAACCCGCTAACACCCGATATCCACTAACCGCTAACCGCTGAATGCCAAACACGCCCAATTAATGTAAATTTTCCCTTAAATATCTAATTACGGACATGGATCACTTAACATTATTATGGTCAGTCAAACATCGTAAACCGCTTGTGAATCTTTTTAGGGGACGGGAGTAAATAGGATGTTTTTAAGCAATAACCAAAAATAAACTGATTGAGCTTGGACCAATATTTGGTTTCCTTCCCCAATCATGCCATCTAAATCTCCTATATATTTTCTTTTCTATTTTGTTTCTCTAGCATTATTCCAATTCCAAAGGGGCCCTAAGGAAATCTTATTCAAATTATCCAAGGGGGAGCAACTAACCTTGAATTCGGTGTTCAAATATACAATTCTCAAGATCACCAATTTCCTTCAGGAAGTTGTTAATATTTTCGGGAATATCAGCAAGGTGACTTGAGGTTTGCTCCAAGAACACAAACTCTACAGAAACACACTTTTCTGCTGCACCCTGTCAGAAAAGGCACCACATTTGGCGAATTCAAAATTTGACATAGTTGTCCAGTTAGGAGGAATAAGCCTTCCTGCTCTACACATTTTAAACTACAAACATTTGATGGTAGTATTTGGACTTTACTTTTGTATTGGTTATTGAAAACTACTTCCGCCTTCCTAGTGTCTTTGCTTCACCTTTTTTTCAACCATCCTCGAGGTCTGCCTCATAAGCCGTAACTTATTTGGTAAAATTTGATAGAAATTCAAATATCAACCACATCATTTCACTTTCATTAATGTGATTGCCGCTCTATCATCATGTATTAAAGATATTGGAATGAATATAAATATAGTGACCACAAATAACTGTTGAATTGTTAGGTCACACTGCTACAAATATATCTGCAAGTGGGTGACGTACCGTCAGTGCCATTCTAGTTGTTGAGTCTAGACTTTCAAGTACACAAGAGCTTATCAGCACAACTTTTTTTGTGATATCTTTTTGCTGACTTCCCCATGAATACAGAACTTCATCACTTAGAACATCTGAAAGTTTCATATCTGCAAATAACACATCCATACGATAGCATATGTCAAAAAAGCAAATGATTAAAGTAAAACAGCACTCGAGTATTCCTGTATGAAGTTAAGTTCACAATTTTTGAGAACACAAACAAGCACATTTAAGTAAAAACTTACCGACACCACAAAAAGACGATGAATTGTTGAAATCTGGACCAAAAGCATCAACAGGAAGACTGTTAACCGCATGGTGGAAATCACGGAGATTGAAGTGGCCTCTCGGACTATAAGCCACCTTCAGCTGCTAACCACTTTATCCATCAGTTACAAAGCAGAAGCATTAATTGAGCGTTTCTATTGAAGAATTTAGTCAATTCACCAATGTAAGCCGGCACGCACTCAGAAACCTTACACAATACAATATCTCCATAAGTAATCATCAAAAGAGCGTGAAGCATTCCTAACCATATAGTGCAAATTGTTCCTTCTACAGAAATATACATGAAAGTATTCTGACTTCCGAGTATGATATAATTGTGCACAGTATACTTGTATAATTACCATTGACGCATCCTAGGACACAGACTTTAGAAGTAGATTGACAGATCGTATACCTCATGGGCGCATGATATGCGATTTTTGAAAATGTAGCATAGCCCGATCTGATCGGGCAGTGGTTTGGGTTTTGATGGACTACCATTACTAGCTGAAGAAGATATTGCGTGCAAATTCGCTAACTGCAACAGTAACTGGCATCGCAAAATAGGAGATAGTTTTAATTCAAAATTTCATGACAAAACGAACACGCAAGAGATTAACAACTACTTTGGAATTCGGAAACAGATTTACGAATATGTGCGCACATTACCTGTTTCAGATCGTGAAGTAGCGAAGTCGATATGCACCGGAGATCCAAGACGAAGCAAAGCATCGTCATTTTTAATTCCGATTGTCTATCTTACCAGCATCTATATATCTATATATAAAACAGAAAAGTCTCAAAGAGGGTCAAGGATAATAATTTCAGCATGGAATAATTAAACCCAACTATAGAACTTCTCAGAGAAGTAGACATTATAAATTAGTAACGTAGGGGATGGAGGGTGCAAATGGCAGGATAATAATTACAACTTACAATAATTAATCCAGTCACTACGCTTCTCAAAAAACATGCGTAGAAATGTGCATCATGTTGTTCAGCACATCTATTATTTATTATCTATTATTATTATAATTATATATATTATTTTTAGCAAAAGAAAACTTGCAGATCAAGTTCCCGCCCAAAAGTAGAACACTCTAGAATCACGTGGTCGGTTTCCCAACAGCTTAGCTTTTTAATTAATTTACAAATTGAGAATTCAAAAATACGTATAGACAAATACATTTGTAAATAAATAAGTCCAACACAATGACGTTCTGTTCGCATATCAAGAAGATTCTGATTGATTGTTTTGTAGACAAGCACAACTCATGTTTGACTCCCCAATGTAGCATTTAATACATGCTCTATGTTCAGCTTTAATGGGATCGGGTACCTGTATATAAATAATGGAACGTGTGATGAGCAAACCAGTTTTATCCTAGACCTAGCTTAGTCCTAAACAAGAGTTGAAAATGGTGGATTTGAGGAGTTTGATAAATGCTGTGAACCAAAGCAAATCCACATGGCGAACAGAGGTTGGTGTTGTAAGGATGTATATTGTTACACCTTCATCGGTATGCATATTCCATAATGAAAAGGTAAGTTTTACAGAGAAACAAACTAATATCTCGCATAAGAAGGTATTGAAGAAACGGAAATCAGACACTTCACAAAGGAAAAACTTCCTGAGCAGGTCGGAGAGCCTACCTCAAAGATCCGCGCGGCACTTACTACTTCCGAGATACTGGCTGACAGAGACGAACCGCTTGTCTGCTGGAACGATCAGGTTGATGGCCACCGATCTCTCTCCGCTCAGCTGGGATGAAAACTCTCTCTTCTCGAACCGTCAGGAGGACGGCCGCCGAAACTCTAGAACACTCTCCCCGTCTCCCGGGCAAATTAGCACGGACCCACGTGCGGCCTAACTCAATTAAAATAGGCTAATTCCAGATTTTACTAAACACAGCCCCTAATTATAATTAAGTAATTAAATTAAATATAAATGAAATTCCTATTATATCCCTATTGTCGTAAGGCTCCTTCAATCCTCCCAGATTTTCGATGCCGCTCAGAGCAAGTAAAGACATGGTGGAGCCGCCGAAGGGAGGAGGAGAACGGTGTAGCACCACCATCCTGGAAATACATATGGCCGAGGCTGACATATTATGTTCCGCTCCTTCACGCCTACTAGTTTCTTTTATTCCCCCCACCCCCAGGGGCGGAGCTACTGGGGTCAGGGTGGTCAGCCGACCCCGCTGAAAATTTAAGAGTGTAGAGCTCTGGATTATCTTCGATTTGATATATTATGGCTCTTGTAACTCATTCTGATTAAAAAGTTATGGCTTCTGCAAAATCAGCACTATTTAAGTTTGAAATTAGTAAAATTGTGATGCGTAATACGTAGTATTAATTATATTCACAAAATAACGTATAATTCACTCGTTACTTACGTGACATGATTTAGGGATAGAGCAAAGACAACATATCTTACTCCTACGAGTGCCTACTCAATAAATGATTCTTTTCTAGTAAGAAATCTTGATACTAAACCGAGTAAGATCGAAGAGAACCATAGAGTACTAGAGTAAGACAATGGATCTCATCCGAGATACTCAACTCAACTCGTATAAAACAAGTTTATAATATATGTGACATATACGAAGTATATTAACTACATATACTCTATTAGTTTCATTTAAACGATCATTTATCTAAGCTACATTCAATTCGGGTATTGTCTAAAAATAATCTACCGTTTTCATTTTATGTAAATTTGATTTCGACCCCGCTGAGTCATTTTTCTGGCTCCGCCCCTGCCCACCCCTTCCCCTTATACAGATCAAGAAAAAAAGATTTCACACCTATGTCATCCAAATCTCCACACCGGGATAGATGGTACCGCCCTTTTTGGAGATGGAGGGGTAACTAAACACTCATATCTAGTTTATCTTCTCGACAATTAAATATAATTAAGAGCTTTGATACCTACTAAATCCGTCTAATGAGGTTTAGTTTTAAATTGCATATAAGCAGTTTGATAATCTTAAAACCAGTCTTGCAATTGAGCATAGAGAGAGTTAATTCAAGTTTTCAAGAACATAGGAGAAACTGGAATCTTTTGCTTCTAGTGTAGTTATCCACTCTGTAATAGACAATTTTTAATTGATACTATCAACGAGCGTGAGATACTATCAAACCTAATAGGAGATGATTTGAAAATTTAGTACACCATCAAAGTGTACATGGGTTTTTAGCTCCGAGCGGCACCAAATTAACAGACTACAAAGGAAGGTTGCAAGAGGGCTAATGGATTTCCGCCGCATAAGAGAAGAACATATAGATTGGCTATGTTGATGGTGACGGACAACTGGCGGGGATACAATAGGCATTTTATTTTTATTTAATTAATTAATTTAATTAGAGGCTGTGTTTAGTAAAATAAAGACTGCATTTAGAATTCCCCTTAAAATATTGATTTGGGCCCCATGAACCTTTTTCCTCTCTCTTTTATTTTTACATCTTTTGGGCTGTGGCCCAAGTAAGTACCATGTAATCTTCTCCGGTTATTTTTTACATCTGTTGGGATGTTTTAGACCCCGTTTGGTGACCCCTTTTTTCGGCTTATCTGGCTTATCAGCCAGCTTTTTCACCAAACACGTAAGTTTTGATTTCGCGCGCTGAATTGTGTAATAAACAGAAAAAAGTAAGGTTGTAGTTACTTTTCTGGCTGTATTGGCTGAAGTTATTGTATAAGATCGTTTTAGCTATTTTTTCATATAATTTTTTATTTTATTTATTAATAACAAATATTTTAAATATAATTTTTTCACGAATCAGCAGAATCAGCCAATACAGTCACTTCAGCCAGAACTTCATAAATTTCAGCAGAATCGGCCAATACAGCCAATTTTAGTGTTACCAAACAGGCTCTTAGACTTTTAGGCTTGATTAGATCATAACAGATAAATAATAAAATATACATACATCAGACACTTATCTGACTAGATCAAATTAGACCGTCAGACCAAACTTAAACAGATCTGGCCATAAAAATTTAGTCTAATTAAAAAAAATCATTATTACTGTGATCCATTACATAAGGAAATAAAAATGACATCTTATAGGTATAAAAAAGAGTAATATTAATGATAATAATAAAATAATCATAATGATGACTTTTTATCCTTCTAAACCTATTATTCCACATGCTCATTAATAACAACAACATTAACACTACCACCACCAACAACTAACAACCAAGCTTTACTTGGTATAAATAGCATTGCATGCAGTGGCGGAACCAGAATTTTATTTGAAGGGGTGCTGAGAATTATACTCCGAAAAAACTACTCAAGAACCCCTAGTTCATTAAGTACTCTAAATAGACCCTTGCAAAAAATAGTACTCTAAATAGACATAATCTCTACTCAAAGAATCAAAATCACTAGTATATTTATGTAAACCTTAATTAGCGATCACTGCAAAAAAACACGGGATTGGCGGAATTTTTGGCATGGACCCAAAATTGGCATGAATTTTGACAAATTAACCTAACAAATTATACAAAATAATCATATACTCCACAATAAATAGCGTTGAGTTATATATATTTAATCACGGAAAAGTTACCGAAATTGGACTAAAACAGTTTGAAAATTCCAAAATAGGACTGACATGTTTTTATTACCAAAATAGAAGTAATTACTATCAATTTTTGAAAATATTGTCATGTTTGAAGTCTAGTACTGCCAAAACATGACAGTAATTAATCTTATTTTGGGAATAAAAACATGGCAGTCCTATTTTGGAAGACAAGATAACATTACCTTTCACAAGCCACAAATGCGCAGAAGCGAGCAACGCAGTATTGAGAGTATTTGGGACCTTATTATTTCTATTATTAAATACGTAGTATGTAATGTGTGGTGTCTCCTTATTATATAGTGTGTGCGTGGGTTACGTAAGGTGCATGGCCCTCTACCTTGTTTTCCATCCAAATTATTGTAATATTTATACAACATGTAATGGAAGCTACAAAGCAGTTGTGCGCATTATTTCTCTTACATGAAACTTAGTACTCTCAATATCAGTTCTTACTTTTATCATTGTTTCTTATGCAGGTCTTCCATTTTTCCAGCTTCCAGCGACGGTCATTGATCCAGCACAGAACTGGCAGGCGGCGGCAAAATTTTGAATCATCTGTCGATTCAGTCTTGGAAAGACGGTCTTTCTCACTTCCTCCTCCCGGCCTCTTCGATTTTTAGGTTGTGTCTCTGAGCTAATTGAACATTAAATGGTCAATAAAGCAAGTAAGGATGTTATTAAATGTAAATTTCTTATCAGTGTCGTTTACTAATAATATTAATATATTGAGAGAACAGAGTGTCGTTTAAAGCACAATTGAAAGTTGTTTTACTTTAATTCCCCCCTTTCAACTTCCTCAAACGATGTCGTTCAACTAAATGAATTCTTTTTAAAACCTTAGTTTGTACTTCTTATCAGCACCACCAGCTCAACAGGGGAGAAGTCAGGGGCGCCGGAAGACTAAAACGGAAGAGGGTTCAGGGGCGCCGGCCATAACAATACCTATACATACCTCAACTACTCCGGCGAAGGGGGAGCGCCAGCACCGGCTCGCCCCCTAGTTCCGCCGCTGTTTGCATGGTAAAAAACTGCTTTACAAATGTGTGTAAAAGAAGATTATAAACGTATCTATATGATTAAACTATGCTCATTTTTTTTACCATTTTGATGTTCATTGTATAATACTCCCTCCGTCCCTTATAACTTTGCCAACTTTCCATTTTTGGATGTCCCAATAACTTTGCCACTTTCCCATTTAAGTAAAGAATTTGTGGTTCCAGTTAATTCTCTCTCCTCTACACAAACCTCAACCACACAGTTTTTACTTTATTAATTCCCGTGCCGGTCAAACTTGGCAAAGTTATTAGGGACGGAGGGAGTATATAATATATGCGACTATTTTTTATGGAAATAAAGGCATATTTTATATATAAGTAAAATAAAAACTAAAATAATGGCACATTTACTATAATAGTAAATCTTAGTCACCATAAATATGTTTGATTTTGTACTATATGGAGTCATAGTCATAACAAGTTTAGTCATATTTTTGTTCAATAATTTCATTCCTATAAAATTATAAGAAAACTCTTTTTTTAAGGAGTGTGTCTATAAGGAGGCACGTCATAGCATGGGCGGAGCTAGGGGTGGGTCAACCTAGACCTTGGCCCACCCCAAATTTTAAAAATGGCTTAATTTTTAAGGTAAAAAATTGGGAAATTCTATTCACAGCCACAATTTAATAAATACAGCCACAAAATTTTCATTCTTCCAATTATGTCCTTTTTATAGGTGTCAAACGGCTGCCCTCACCTTTCATTCCAGTTGCACGCATGCTTCATCACCATTCACCCCTCTGAGGCATCAATTCTCTCACTTCCACCTTCTCCCTCCATCTTTGCATTGATGCATAGGGCTTCTCCGTCCATCAATTTTATTAGCAACGTACATATCCACAACAACTCAATGAGGTAATTAAGGTAGAGTTTTTTTTATCTCGACAATGAATTTCATCTTTCTCTTGTTCAAGATTTCCTTGGCAAAGTTTTTTTTAATTGAAAGATAATAATACTTCATAAAACCAAATTAATAATTAAGCTTAGTTATTTATAAGCTAGCAAGACTTTTTGCAGCTAGCGGCGTGGAGTCATTTGCAGTCGCCGTCGGGGAATCCCCTCCCGGGCACACCGTCTTGCAGCCACTGTCACCAAGACATCCCCTTCTGGTCTCACACGAATTTTCCCGCCGCTTATCATCTCGGCGGCCATGAACAGATTCACAAAGAAGCTGCGAGGGAACAAAAAAAAGAAACCATTTTTTGTGGGTTGAGAAGAAGATACGAAGCTAATTTATGAAGCTTCCTTGGCAGAGTTATTTCGGTGGCCAAGGAAGACATACGAAGTGTATATATCCATTGGCAGAATCAATGAACTCATTGCAACAAGAATTTAGCTTGACAATTTCATCGGGTGAGAAGGGTTAAGGGCGAGAAGGGTTAAGAAACTGCGGTGGATGTGATTTGCCTACGGTTCTATTAGGTTGCATATTATTAAGGACATAATAGGGATTAT